TAGGTGTGCATATGTCTGTTCTTGTCATGGCTCTCACTTCTTTAGGCTATATACCTAGTAATGGAATAGCTGGCTCAAATGGTATTTCTAATTCCAACTTTTGAAGGAATCGCCATATTGCTTTCCACAATGGTTGTACCATTTTATAGTCCCACCAGCAGTGTATGAGAGTCCCAATTTCTCCCCATCCTCACCAGAATTTGTTATTTTGTGTCTAGTTGAACTTTGCTACTAGTGCTGGAGCAAGATGGTATCTCATTGTTGTTTTGAATTGCAACTCTCTAACAGCTAATGAGTGTGAGCATTTCTTCATGTTTGTTGGCCACTTGAATATCGTCCTTGATGAAGTGTCTATTCATGTCCTCTGCCCATTTTTAAATTGGATTGTTTGTCTTTTTGTTATTGAGGTTTTGGAGTTTTCTATAAATTCTAGAGAAAAAGTCCCTTGTCAGATATGTTATTACCAAATATTTTTTCCCAATCTATAGATTCTCTTTTGACTCTTTTGGAGAAGTTTTTGAGAGCACATAAAAATTTAATTTTTAGAAGGTCCCAACCTTCTGGTTTCTCTTCTGCTGTTTGTGCATTTTGAATTATGCTTGTTAGTCTCTTTGATCCATCTGGAGTTTGCTTTTGTGTATGGTGTGAGTGGTGCATTTAATCTATTAACATTCAGTGTAATTATTGACAAGTATGAATTGGTTACTGCCATTTTTTATGTGCTTTTTCATGGTGTCCCTCATTTCTTTGTTCCATATTATTTTCTATGCTGAGCTCATTATGTTTATGAATCTCATTATCATTTCCTTTGTTGTTGCTTTTTTAGTATTTGCTGAATATTTGTGCTTGTCCTCTTTTTCATTGTGATATGAAGGCTTATCATTTTTCTTTGAGGTTACCCTATGATTTATAATTTTCTCCCTGAGTTTAGAACAGTCTGTTCTATCTTGCAACTCTCTTAACTTCCTCACCATTTAGAAGTTGTGTAACTTCACAATATTTTCCCTCTTTTTGTTTATAGTTGTCCTCACTTGCCAATTTATGTCTCTGGTTCCCTGTTTACAATCTTGTAAGCTCATTTTACTTTGGATATATCCATAGCTGTGGTTTCTGGGTTATG